GGCCCCCCCCCCCCCCCCCCCCCCCCCCGCAGCGAGACCCCACTCCTGCTCCACAGCTCCCCCTTGCTCCTTCACCCAGAGTCCCCCCTGGGTCACCCAGAGCCCCCCAGACCAGGGAAGAAAGGGTGTCCCCCCCGCATCTATAGAGAACGGTAGTAGCTGGAGGGCTGGGGGTCCCCATCCCACCCACGCAGGACCTGGTCTCTCACCTCCATGCTGGGAAGAGTAGGAGGACCGGGAAGAGGTGGACCACTGCTTGGCAAAGGTATCATCAGGGGAAGCATCGGCCACCCCCTGCACCTCGGCCCCCTCCTGCCCGCTGGCACCCCCCGGCTCTGGCCGCCCCTCAGGGCTGGGCCCAGCGATGGGGGGCTCCTCGACCTCCCCGCACTTGGCCATCTTCTGCGCCAGCATCCGCGCCGTCTCCTCCTCCAACTGCCGGATATCCTCCATCGTCAGGTCTGTCCACTCGTCCTGCCAGCACCAAGCCTGGCGGTGGGCGCGCAGCATCACCTTCCGCAAACCTGCGACGGGGAGGGTGCGGGGGGGAGCGAGCCCGGCATGGCCCCGGGGCTCCCCAAACCTGCCCCCCTCCAGCAATGCCAAGGTGCCGGTGGTCGAGGGCTTGCCGTTGCTGCCCCACACTCACCCACATCATGGATGAACTGCTCGATTTTGGACTGCATCCCCCAGTAGCGAAACTCCACCTTGCAGAGCTTGTAGGCGCACATCAGGGGCCCACCAGCAGCCGCCTCCAGCCAGTCGTCCCCCAGCGGGCCCCGGCCCGTCTTGGCCGAGTGGTAGAGCTTGGGGTCCTCCTCGGGCTTGTATTCCCCAGGGGAGATGGGGTCACGTACAATGTCGATGGTGTCTGCAGGGGGGAACAGCGCTCGTCACCCTGCAGCGCTCAGCGAGGGGACGCGGGCAGGTGGGAGCCCCCCTCGAGCAGGAAAAAAGGGGAAAGCCGCACGAAAATCAGAGGGGGCACCCAGCAAATTACTCCCACAAGCCGCGTGTCCAACACAGCCAGCAGCAAACACTCTATAACATCAAAGGCACCCTCGGGTGCACGCGAACACGTCCCCTTGGGTGCACACGCGGCTGTGAAAGGCGCGGGGGGAGGCGCGGAGGCAACGGGGCGTGCGAAGAGCCGGGGCTGACACACATACGCGCATTAGGCAGGAGATTTGGCAGCTGGGAGAGCGGCCCCGGTGACCCCGGGGGATGCAGGGGCTGGTGCTGAGGACAGACGGATCGAGCAGCTCGGCGCAGTGGTGAGGCCCGCCAGCTGCCCCAGTAACAGGGCACAGAGCACAGCAAAACCACCACACGACCCAGGAGAAGCCCCCGTCGAGCCAGGGGTGCAATGGCAGTGTCCCCCCTCTCCCCAAAACAGGGGTGGCCTCCCCAAAACTGGAGGGGGTGCTCACAGATGGCACCCAGGAAAACATCATCCAACAGACCTTGGGGGGGCTGTTCAGGCCCAACCCTGCACAAAACCTCCTGCAGTCTGGCTGCTCCGGCCCCATCTCCAGGCCAGCTCCTTCCAGCCCAGTCTTGGGGGGTCCTGGGGGGGTCCCAGGGCACCCCGCTGATGCCCAGAACCTTCTCACAGAGCTGTGCCCAGCCAGAGTGCCCAGCCCGTCCCCAGGCTCTGCCAGAGCCTGCATTTATTTGTCCCCATTGACACCCCCAAGGTGCCTGCTGGCCTCTTCCTCCAGCTTGGGGCAAAAAAAGGGGGAAAAAGGACTTCTAAGGCTCAGAAAGCGCGGAACTGTTGCAGGGCACGTGCTCTGAAGCGGGGCTTTTCCTGTGGCAGGTAGCTGAAATGCAAAGTGCCACAACCCCTGCAAACCCCCCCAGCCTGCAAAACCCACCACGGGGTGGGAAAGCAGCGCCCGCAGCATCCAGATTGTATGGCGAATGCGAGCCCTTAAATCAGTGCCTGACGGGCTGGCCAAGCAGCCTGGATGGCGGCACACTGCGGTCAGCAGTGAGGAGCCGGGATAGGACCTGCCAGCCCCGAGCAGCTCCCGGCAGCGTCACTCACGCGACGACCGGTGGATCTGTTTGCTTCTGCTGCTGTGAGAAAATTGGTGAGGACGCAGTTACCCCCGTGGTTCGTCCCTACAGTCCAAACCACATTACTCTGTTGCCCTTTGAAATGCGAGATGGGGTTTAAATCTGTCGGTGTTACGGGATGCTGGGGTGAGAGCTGGCAAAGAAAATACCAGCAGGGTCAGCATCCAGACCAGTCCCACCTCAGCACCGCTCCCCATGGGAGACAGCAGCTACCCGAGACGCAGCATGCCCTGCGGAAAGCCCACAGGACAGGCACCGGCGGGGAAAATCAGGCAGGGCAGCAGGCAGCGGGCACAGGGCCGTGCCCTGCCTGCTATCCACTTGGCCTCAGTTGCTGCCTGGCGGTGACAGGGGCAGAATTTGTCCCCCCCAGCCCAAGCCACCAACATCCCGGCCGGACGTCCCCAGTGCCGCAAGAGCCAATGAGAGAAATAGGTCAGATGAATCATTTCCTCCAAGTGCCTATTTTAGGCCTCCATTTTAAGAGGCAGCGCGTCACGCTCTGCACTCCAGCGCCTAAAACGACCAGATCGACACCACCAGGAAAGGGAGGCCACAGCAGCCGGGGCCAAAACCCACCAGCGAGGGAGGAATCCCACCCCAGGCTCCCAGCTCTGCCCGCCAGTCCCTCTGGCAAGCAGCGGAGGGGCCCGGACCCGGAGAGCGATCTAGAGCAAAGCCCTGGGGAGCAGGGGAATCAGGGCAGGGGGTGGGAAAATGGGGACACGCTTCTCCAGCTCCCCCCGCTCCAGCTGATCCGAAACGCCCTGCAGGAGCCCGGTGCACGTTCCCACACACACCCAGAGAGGGGCTGGGAAGGCAAAGCCATGCCAGACTGCATGGGACAGGGGCTGGGACATGGAAGGAGAGGGGAGAAGGCTGGCACCGGGAAGGGGAGGGCTACAAACAAGTATACAGGCAAGGGAAGAACGCAGAGGACAATATTGCCCCCCAAAACATCTTTAATGCGGACTCTAGCAGTGCTGCCAAGGAAGCAGGCAGGGAGCTCAGGGCAGGGAGCTCGGGGCACAGGTGCCTTCCCCTGCTGGGGTCCCTCTATAGCTGTCCCCAAAACACGAGGGCCAGCAGGGAGAGCAAAGCCAAGCGTGTTGCAGACGCTGAGCCCCTGCAGCCAGCAGGGAAGCTGAGCCCCTCGGGCGCTGCAGCACACCCACGCACCCAGCTCGGGGAGCGCCGCGTGGGAACCCCGGCAGGCATCGGGTCCTGCCCGGCGCCTCGAGCCAGCCTCGCGGCGGCCATACGCACCCAAAATCCTCTGCCTTTTCTCAGCCGCACTCAGGTTGAAAACGTTAGTCTGCTGGCCCGCGTCTGGCCGGTAGTACGTCTCAATCTCGATGGAGAACTTCTCCACGAAGGGGCAGGTGTACCTGGGGGACATGCAGGGATGGGGCTGAGCCCGGTGGCACAGTTGGCCCCGCAGCCCACCCTTCAGCTCCACCAGATCCCACCTGGTGCGGGTGTAGGGGTAGGCATTCCAGGATTCCTCCTCCACCTGCAGCGCAGCCTTAGGAAGCAGTGCCCGAAACCAGCTGGGGATGTGGGAGCCAACGTGGTAGATCTTGTGGGTGTACTGGCCGCTGCCACCGGGGCCGTCGCTGTAGGGCCGGTTGGCGAGGATTTCCACCCCGCTGCCCTCGCCACTCGACTCCTCCCGGCTCTTCTTCTGTGGAGAGAGCTGCCAGGTGAGCACGGCCCCCCAGCACCCCCTAACCCCGAGAACCGCACACCCTTAAGGCCTGGCACCTCACAGGTCCCCGGGGTTCCTGTACCCTCCTGCAACCCCCAGTCCCCGTGTGTTTATACCCCCCAGCTCCACACCTGCTCCCAGCACCCCCTGCTTGGCTCGGTGGCCCCAAACCCACCCAAACCTCACTGACACCCCAGCACCCTACCAATCCCTTGGGGCCAGCCTCAGGCCCCACACAGTCCCCTGCACCCCCCTATA